AGCCATGTAGAGTCACTCTCTGAAGGTCAAAGAATTGCTCAGAGTTAGTCAGGCTTTGCTTTGATGATATTCACAGCATTTCTGCGAATGTCAAGTATGCTTAGAGGAGCTGAAGTCTTGTGACTTATTACACATCCTTGGCCAAACAATGATGATATTGACAGTTTTTTGAAGGCAACTTGTCTCTTTAGGAAAATGAGTACTAGGGATAAACAGCGTTTTACATATCACAATCCTCTATTTGACAACCTTTGACAACTCTTTTTCTGGCTTTCTAATTTGGTGCAATTGCCAGCTTTTTGTGCACATACAATTTACAATTTCTCAAAGTGTAGCTGTGCCATGTGTTTGTTTGCATGTAGAAAGGAGGAATGAGGGGTTTCTTTTAGCCCTGTGGGCTATTCGAACGTAAAATGTCTGAAAACACACTTTTTACACACTCTAGTTTAGTTTGCCCACCAACAATGTCCAACAGTGGATGTACATATGTCATGAGAATATGAGATAATATTTTAATATTCCAAATAACTGTGAAAGAGTAGACAGGAGACAATAGGGAGAGGAACTGAACAATGACCTAAGCTGGATTCGGTCGCATGACCATAAGGTCACAGCATGTCGGTGAACTCACTACCCAGCAAGCCATGTGTTCAGTGAGACCTTCTCTCTGACCCTCATTTTGGGAAAGTTGAGAAACATTAGACGAGGGAATGCAGCATGTAGGCTGTTCTATTCCCCAATCCAGTTAACATTCCCATCATTATGGTGCTTGATACTCTCAACCAGGACCAAACTTTAACATGTCAAGTCAAGATCAGAAACCAAGAAATGCTTGTTAACTTAGTGTGGTGATGGTGTAGTCGTGGCCTTCTCATGATCTAATCAGTCACTGGGGATGTCGACCCAGTCTGAGAATGAAATTTGCTTCCTTTCTGTCTGTCTCTGTTTGTGCACACAAATATGCACACACACCTTCATGCAAGGTCAGCCATGAGTCAGTGCGAGCGGTTCTCATTGTTCATTGAGGCACTCAGGTTGCTGTGAAATGTCTCGCTTCAGGGTGACGAAATGAACAGACAAAGCAGCCAGAAAGAAAGACCTGCTGTATTTCTGTCATCATATTTTATAGCTTCAGGGCAGGTTTCACAACATCCTCAACCACAGTTGATTCAAAGGTGTGGCAGAATACCTATGAAACAACCTTAATGCACTGAGTGAATCATTACAATTACAGATCGTACAAATTCTGTTTGAATGCGCCAAGACGTTTGTGTGGAATTTCCAAATTCCAAGTCTTGTTTGAACTAAACCGGGCTACATCTATTGCTAGTTTGTAGATAAAGGATTCAACTTTGGGGGAATATCTGTTTTTAATGTACAAACATCTGGTTGCACTCATGTGTTAAAGATTATACCAGCAATTAAGCTTGAGCTTTAATGCTGAAGAATGCCTGAAGCTTCTCTATAACAATAGCTTCTTCTCAATCAGGGTTGGTTAGTATTGTAAAGGACTCGTGTGTATGAATCGAAATCCTGTGGGGAATGTTAATTGTTAGGTAAATGTCCTTGCAGCATGTCAATTCGGATCTATTCCACTCAACCTAGAGGACGACTAATTGTGGGGTAGTGTGGGTGGTAAATCAATGCTGTTGGCTTTAAAGTCTATTCAGACCAAGTCAAAGTTTCATTATTTTATTATCATATTTAAAGATTGTAAAACTAAAAGATACAGTTCTTTAGAGTCCAAAATATGTTTTATGTTTTGAAATGAGTTTTGTGATATTTAATAAGATTAAGATTAGATTTAAGATTAAGAATAAGAATAAGATAAGTAGAATATTTATAAATATTTTAATAGTAAGTATTATAGTATTTTAATGTACGTAATACTAATTAATAATTTAAATACTAATTATTCTATTTATAAATTTAAATATTTTATATATATATATATATATTAATGGTGTGAACAGTTCTGTGCAAAATACTTTGCCATCATCTATTTATTTATTTATTTATTTTGGTGTCATGTAGTGGCACTTGTGAACAAAGTCTAAAAGTTCTTAAATCGGATCCCTCGGAACCATCTAGCAATTAGTGCATGTTCTCTGATGTGTTGAGACATGGCGCTCATGTGGGCAGAGTGAATTTGAGTCTGCCTTGCAAGCTTCCTTATCAGGTCATACTCTAAATAAGTGGAAAAATGCCATAAGTATACAATAAATATGTAGCGTATTTTAGCGTAGTATGGTCATCAGGCTTTAGTGGGAGCGTGCTTGTGTGTTGGTAAAGTCATCATCCTGTTGACTGCTTTTTCAGCAGCGGCCTTTTGAGCTTGAAGGAGTTGCTTTCTTTTGTGTGTGTTCCCTGGTCATCCAAATGATCACTCAAGCATGGACAGTCGTTTGGCAGAGACGGCTAATTTTCTGTCTCACCCTTTCTCTCTTCTGCTACCACCTCTTTCTCATCCACATCTATCGTTAAGCTCCTCTGATTCTATTTGATACAACTTCATACCCTGCTAGCCGCTCACACACACACACACACACACGTTTACTTATATGGGGACATTACATAGACTTCTATTCTTTTTATATACAGACAGTTATACACTTTTTAACCTAAACCCATGCAGACACACACGCCTTTGTCATTCTTTCTTCTCAGCCAAATATCTTCAAAGAAATGTTTTTTTTATAGATGTCCATCATTCAGGCTTGCACAAACAATTTCTGCACTTACCCTTAGTTTAGTACACTTAAAGCTCTACACGTGTACGAGTTAATCTTCAGCGCTAAACGAATCCTTTGCAAAGTTCAGTTTAACAACCTTAAATATGATTTATTAGGTTGCCAAGGCAAGAATTGCAATTACTATTGCTCGTACTTGTGGTGAGAGATTTGAACAAATCCCTGCCCTAAGCATTAAAATCGTGCATGTAACTCATCCCACATTACATGAACAACACCTCAAAAGGTATGACTTTTGACTATGATATTAGCTTTCTAAGTGACCATTTTTATAGTATGATGAATGTTAGAGTCATTAGAGAGATCCATTATCATTAGAGAGTTTGGGGGTGAATTATTTTAGCTTGTTTGCAACCTCATATATGATGGCCTTGACCCCAAACTCTTCTAAAATTGTAAAAAACTAGTTAAAACATTTGTCTCATTTCTTATGCATGTTTTTACTTTAAGTATTAACTCAGAGCTATTTAGCAGAGCTTTTACAATGTTGAGTATCAGTGCTGATCTATGGGCCACCCTACACCGACAGTCACGGGCAAGATGAAGTGAGCTATCCGTTTCCTTTCTCTCACCTCCTATATTAGAGCCTTAAGCTATCCAGCTAAAGTCAAGTGTTACGGATCAATGATGAATGACAAAAATAAGGCCATGAAGGTCAAATAATATAGCCTGAGTCTGTGAAAAGCAGTAGTTTTTCCTTGTCTGTTTTTAAAGGAGTAAGTCTCCTTTTTCTCACGTAACCCTTGTTGAGGCTCCATCTAGTCCTCTTGAGTTTGTTAAAGCCCAGCTGAGCAAGTTAAGAAGACAAAGAACCAGAACTGGCTCTATGCACTGTGCAAAAAGATTGTTCTGGAACAAATCGGATAACTTTGAGGCTTCCTTGTTTCATATGTCCTTGTGCGACATACTTGTACTTTGTAACTAAACATGAATGCCGTGTGAAATGAGACTATTCTTGAAATGTTCGCAACCTGAATAAACACCGGATCTTAAGATTTCTTAACCAGCTAGGTATAATCTCAAAGTTCTAGGGCTCAAGTTTAATCGGATCGTGTTTTCAACGACAGGAGCCTCCCTGTTCTGGCAGGAGCAAACTTTGGCCAGGGAGTGTCTATCTAGCTCTCTTTCTTCATTCACACACCCCACCTGCCTGCCCTCAGTAACGATGAGATCACTCAGCTACTGATAACATTACACGTCTTTTCAGGCAAGCCAAATCTTTATTGCCCTTGACCAAGCCTACACTTTATTCCGTGTGATACAATAAAATACAAGTAAGATACAATAAAATATAATGAATCATTCTGCAGCATAAATTATGCCACACCTTTTTACACTAGCGTGCATGGCCTGGATAAATGTAGAGATCGCAGTCTCTACATTTTTTTTCTTTTGCTTTCTTACTCTCTTGCCATCATACTGTATGTGATGGATTCGACTGCTCTTTGTATGCAGACCTGCTGTTTGCTCTCTGAAGGCCTCCACCTCTTCTTCCTCCCCCATCTCATTCCTTTATGGCAGTGAAACAGAGTCTTGCCCATCTGAATAGGCAGACTGTTGACACAGCTGAGTGCAATGCAGCACACATGTGAAACATCTCTAATGTTTTGTGATTGCTAGGCAGAGAGCCGAACAGGTGACTCTGTCTCTAAGCAAGCAAGTTTAATAAAGGCATTGCATTGTACACTTAGAGGACCAATAAGACCACCTATAGGAGGTATTAGGTTCCCACTTAAATCTATCAAAGCCACTTATCTGCTTCTAAGGCTACCATTATCATAGGCAATGCATGATGGGTATAGGATATTGTGGCTGTGAAATGTAGAAATGCTATTTATAGGTCTACTTTAGGTTTTTGCACCTAGAGAAATAAACACACAATATGTGTGAAGTGAATTGCATTAATTTGATGAAAAAATTACTACATTAACAATATTACACCATTTTTTAAAATGCAACTTTTAAATAAAATTGAAAATAAATCATTGCTTTATTTTAGGTTACACTTTATTTTACAGTGTCCTTGTTACAGTGTAATTATACATTTAGGTACTGAGTAATATTATGAATGCAATTATGCATAATTTAAAGTGTACATGTAAAGTGTAACAAGGACACTGTACAATTAAGTGTTACCTTATTTTATTTTAATGAATACATAATTGATTATTAGATTCTTCACTTTAATGTGTTTCTTCATTTTTATGTGTCTTACAGAGTTTCTTTAAGATTTCCTTTTGTTTTTCTAAGGTGTGATCCAGACACAGGAACTGTTGGACCATGAGACCGTGCCTCACTACTGGCTGACGGTCTACGCCACTGACCGTGGTGTGGTCCCGCTGTCTTCCTTCGTGGAGGTCTACATCGAAGTCCAGGATGTCAATGATAATGCCCCACAGACCTCTGAACCTGTCTATTATCCGTCCGTCATGGAGAACTCACCTAAAGATGTCTCCATCATCCAGATTGAGGCGTTTGACCCAGACACCAAGTCCAGTGAAAAGCTGTCCTACAAGATCACTAGCGGGAACCCCCAGGGTTTCTTCAGCATCAACCCTAAGACTGGTGAGTGTTTCAAAGAGCTTTTCATCTTTTCATCTTACAGTCCTTCTAGCAGTCGATTTGAAGATGCTGAGGTTGACAGAATTTATCAAATATGGGCTCAAATCAGACATAAGGCAGATTTATTCGACATGTAAATAATTGCTATTTTAAATGATTTGGCACACATATTGGTCAACTACTACACTAAAAACATGTAGTAGTTGACCAATATGTCAATTCTATTAAAATAATTACGTACCAGAATACATTTGGCATTAATTCATGAATAACCTGAATGCTGAAATTTCAGGTTCAAAAGTAAAGTTTTTTTTTTTTTTTAAATTGAAACTTTTATACAGCAAGGACACATTAAATTGATCAGAAGTGGCAGTAAAGACATTTATAATATTACAAAATATTTATATTTCAAATAAATGCTGTTTTTAACCTTCTATTTCTCAAAGAATCCTGGAAAAATATATAGTAAGCAGCTAAAAATATTCAGGCTAATATTAAGGCTGTTGAAAATTCAGCTTTGCCATTACAGGAATAAATTCCAGTGTTTCCCCTGCCATTATTTTAGAGGGGGTGGCCTGCCCCCCCAACGGCGCCCCCCGCCCCCCTTGAAGGTCAAGTTAATTTTATTTAATTATATTTTCTCTATAGCGCCAGATCACAACAGAAGTCATTTAAAGATACCTTTCTTATAGAACATGTCTATACCTTGTTCTTTCATTAAGCAAACTAAATAGCCTAATGTTATTTATCTTATTTACACGACGGCATGTCATGTCGGTCTCTACGTTATGGTCGCGCTCTCTGTATCGCGCACAGCGGAGTTCCGCCCGATGCGCGCGCTCACACACACACACAAGTAAGCCCACTCCCACTAGTATTTGAAATATTAAGCCGCAAAACGATTCATATTTAAATATGAATTCTGCATGTCTCTGTGTTAATGAATGACGCAGATGCGCGGTTTTGTGTAGTACTCGTACTAAAACGCTTGTGAGCTTCCGGTGATATTAACCTCTGCTGTCTCACTAACGAGGACATAAATACATGAACAACATCTCCAGAACTGCTCTGAGAGTCACTTCATGAGCATTTGACCGTTTCATTTCAGTAAAACTATCATCATGTCATACACACACAGAAATGTAATGGTATTCACGGCAACCCGTCAAAATAAAAGTTTGGTTTAACTTGAAGGCATCGGCAGAAATATATTACTATTGTTGAGTAGAATGTACGTAACAGACTGCTACTACTACTACTAAAATGATTAAAACCTTATTTTTAAGGAATAATCATACAATATTTCTTCAATGTTTTAATTGTAATATTAAATTACCTTTATTTTCCAAAAAATGTTATTTGTTTAATTTTCATTACATAAAAGACTGTATTACTGTTTTTACTGTATTTTTGATCAAAGAAATGCGGCCTTGGTGAACATGTAAAAAAAAATCATAAAGTCTTACTGAGCTCAGTAGTGAACAGTATGGTAACTAACAGTAGTTCTGTTAATCATTTGTTCAGCTGACACACAACTCAGCGATTAATTTCCTAGTCAAGCATGGTTTGCAGAGCATATTCTGTTCGAAGGGGCCATTTTCATGGCATATTGTCCCACATCAGTACAGTGCAAATGGTCCATCAGAGTTGACATCCATCAACAGGATGCATACGAACAGTAAGAGATAGGTTAGCTACTGTACATCCTAATGCTCTTCTGAGATTCTTCGCGTGCCATCAGTCCCAAACATCTGTTTTTATGTAAATCTACTGAAGCATAAGGCTCAGTGAATAAGTGTACGAAGGCACGCTCGCCTGCTCTCAGATCTACTCCATGTTCTCGTTTTCTCACCATGCCTCTCACTCTCTTCATGGATCACTGTGTACGCATATGGGGTTTGCTAAATGGACCCACACTGAATATTTTATACAGCTATGGTTCCTCCTCCTCGTGCTCCTCTCCCCCATAGAGTAGAACATGATTTTGCAGGCATACAGAGGAGAATAGGCATAAAAAGGTGCAAACAGCAGATCCAGAGGCCAGGCAGCTGTAGAAATGATTCAAACTTCAAGTTCAGGACTTTTCAGAAACATGTTAGGTCACATTACCTAGCACCTACAATATCTTCATTGTTGTCTGAACTTGTTTTAGTGCTAAGAACAAATAACTTTTAACTGAAGAAGACTGTCAGGGCTCTACAATGTGACTGAAAACTACCGCGTGCGACTGTGAAAAAATATTTAGGAGCACCATCTCTTCTGAAACTACTGTTTGTGATATTTCTTTGAAAAAATATTTGTGAACCATTTGCTCTACATTCAATCTCATTGCTGCCTTGGAGAAACAGTTAAGATTTTAAAGAGATTTAATTTATGAATGATCTTTCCTATGGGTAGATTTCTTGGAAATCCACAAGCTTTATATGGATGGAGTGAGTATGTGCATCAAAAAAAGCCCACTGAACCTGAAAGCAATCAGTCTGAGAAACTGGCCCTGAAGTTTTATTTGAGTTGAAGGTTTTGGCTAGTCTGTGAAAGTTGGTGGCCAGCCTCTCTCATAGTGTTTTACTGACTTGTGTGGTCTTTTTTCCCCATGCAGTTACATACACAAATGTGAAGGTTATTTTTGCTAGCGGTGGCCAATGAGAGTTTTCAGACCAAATAAGGGTTTGTCCTCCAGCAGACTGAGTTCTCTCAGTAATGGTTCCACACTTGGATTTGCTCCAGGGAAAGAAAGAAAGAAAGAAAGAAAGAAGGGAAGAGAGGAAAAAGGAGAGTTAACTCCATGTCATATTAGAGAAAAAGTTAGAGAAACTTTTAGAGTTAGAGAAAAAATTGAGGCAGTCTAACTTTTTAGTAGAATATTAACCATTCCGTGAGTGGCGGATGTGTGGATTATTAAAGTGCCTGTTTGTGTGTGTTACCATGAGAAAGAGATAAGACTTCTAATTAAGAAAAGTGTTACGGATCAATGATGAATGACAAAAATAAGGCCATGAAGGTCAAATAATATAGCCTGAGTCTGTGAAAAGCAGTAGTTTTTCCTTGTCTGTTTTTAAAGGAGTAAGTCTCCTTTTTCTCACGTAACCCTGTTGAGGCTCCATCTAGTCCTCTTGAGTTTGTTAAAGCCCAGCTGAGCAAGTTAAGAAGACAAAGAACCAGAACTGGCTCTATGCACTGTGCAAAAAGATTGTTCTGGAACAAATCGGATCACTTTGAGGCTTCCTTGTTTCATATGTCCTTGTGCGACATACTTGTACTTTGTAAATAAACATGAATGCCGTGTGAAATGAGACTATTCTTGAAATGTTCGCAACCTGAATAAACACCGGATCTTAAGATTTCTTAACCAGCTAGGTATAATCTCAAAGTTCTAGGGCTCAAGTTTAATCGGATCGTGTTTTCAACGACAGGAGCCTCCCTGTTCTGGCAGGAGCAAACTTTGGCCAGGGAGTGTCTATCTAGCTCTCTTTCTTCATTCACACACCCCACCTGCCTGCCCTCAGTAACGATGAGATCACTCAGCTACTGATAACATTACACGTCTTTTCAGGCAAGCCAAATCTTTATTGCCCTTGACCAAGCCTACACTTTATTCCGTGTGATACAATAAAATACAAGTAAGATACAATAAAATATAATGAATCATTCTGCAGCATAAATTATGCCACACCTTTTTACACTAGCGTGCATGGCCTGGATAAATGTAGAGATCGCAGTCTCTACATTTTTTTTCTTTTGCTTTCTTACTCTCTTGCCATCATACTGTATGTGATGGATTCGACTGCTCTTTGTATGCAGACCTGCTGTTTGCTCTCTGAAGGCCTCCACCTCTTCTTCCTCCCCCATCTCATTCCTTTATGGCAGTGAAACAGAGTCTTGCCCATCTGAATAGGCAGACTGTTGACACAGCTGAGTGCAATGCAGCACACATGTGAAACATCTCTAATGTTTTGTGATTGCTAGGCAGAGAGCCGAACAGGTGACTCTGTCTCTAAGCAAGCAAGTTTAATAAAGGCATTGCATTGTACACTTAGAGGACCAATAAGACCACCTATAGGAGGTATTAGGTTCCCACTTAAATCTATCAAAGCCACTTATCTGCTTCTAAGGCTACCATTATCATAGGCAATGCATGATGGGTATAGGATATTGTGGCTGTGAAATGTAGAAATGCTATTTATAGGTCTACTTTAGGTTTTTGCACCTAGAGAAATAAACACACAATATGTGTGAAGTGAATTGCATTAATTTGATGAAAAAATTACTACATTAACAATATTACACCATTTTTTAAAATGCAACTTTTAAATAAAATTGAAAATAAATCATTGCTTTATTTTAGGTTACACTTTATTTTACAGTGTCCTTGTTACAGTGTAATTATACATTTAGGTACTGAGTAATATTATGAATGCAATTATGCATAATTTAAAGTGTACATGTAAAGTGTAACAAGGACACTGTACAATTAAGTGTTACCTTATTTTATTTTAATGAATACATAATTGATTATTAGATTCTTCACTTTAATGTGTTTCTTCATTTTTATGTGTCTTACAGAGTTTCTTTAAGATTTCCTTTTGTTTTTCTAAGGTGTGATCCAGACACAGGAACTGTTGGACCATGAGACCGTGCCTCACTACTGGCTGACGGTCTACGCCACTGACCGTGGTGTGGTCCCGCTGTCTTCCTTCGTGGAGGTCTACATCGAAGTCCAGGATGTCAATGATAATGCCCCACAGACCTCTGAACCTGTCTATTATCCGTCCGTCATGGAGAACTCACCTAAAGATGTCTCCATCATCCAGATTGAGGCGTTTGACCCAGACACCAAGTCCAGTGAAAAGCTGTCCTACAAGATCACTAGCGGGAACCCCCAGGGTTTCTTCAGCATCAACCCTAAGACTGGTGAGTGTTTCAAAGAGCTTTTCATCTTTTCATCTTACAGTCCTTCTAGCAGTCGATTTGAAGATGCTGAGGTTGACAGAATTTATCAAATATGGGCTCAAATCAGACATAAGGCAGATTTATTCGACATGTAAATAATTGCTATTTTAAATGATTTGGCACACATATTGGTCAACTACTACACTAAAAACATGTAGTAGTTGACCAATATGTCAATTCTATTAAAATAATTACGTACCAGAATACATTTGGCATTAATTCATGAATAACCTGAATGCTGAAATTTCAGGTTCAAAAGTAAAGTTTTTTTTTTTTTTTAAATTGAAACTTTTATACAGCAAGGACACATTAAATTGATCAGAAGTGGCAGTAAAGACATTTATAATATTACAAAATATTTATATTTCAAATAAATGCTGTTTTTAACCTTCTATTTCTCAAAGAATCCTGGAAAAATATATAGTAAGCAGCTAAAAATATTCAGGCTAATATTAAGGCTGTTGAAAATTCAGCTTTGCCATTACAGGAATAAATTCCAGTGTTTCCCCTGCCATTATTTTAGAGGGGGTGGCCTGCCCCCCCAACGGCGCCCCCCGCCCCCCTTGAAGGTCAAGTTAATTTTATTTAATTATATTTTCTCTATAGCGCCAGATCACAACAGAAGTCATTTAAAGATACCTTTCTTATAGAACATGTCTATACCTTGTTCTTTCATTAAGCAAACTAAATAGCCTAATGTTATTTATCTTATTTACACGACGGCATGTCATGTCGGTCTCTACGTTATGGTCGCGCTCTCTGTATCGCGCACAGCGGAGTTCCGCCCGATGCGCGCGCTCACACACACACACAAGTAAGCCCACTCCCACTAGTATTTGAAATATTAAGCCGCAAAACGATTCATATTTAAATATGAATTCTGCATGTCTCTGTGTTAATGAATGACGCAGATGCGCGGTTTTGTGTAGTACTCGTACTAAAACGCTTGTGAGCTTCCGGTGATATTAACCTCTGCTGTCTCACTAACGAGGACATAAATACATGAACAACATCTCCAGAACTGCTCTGAGAGTCACTTCATGAGCATTTGACCGTTTCATTTCAGTAAAACTATCATCATGTCATACACACACAGAAATGTAATGGTATTCACGGCAACCCGTCAAAATAAAAGTTTGGTTTAACTTGAAGGCATCGGCAGAAATATATTACTATTGTTGAGTAGAATGTACGTAACAGACTGCTACTACTACTACTAAAATGATTAAAACCTTATTTTTAAGGAATAATCATACAATATTTCTTCAATGTTTTAATTGTAATATTAAATTACCTTTATTTTCCAAAAAATGTTATTTGTTTAATTTTCATTACATAAAAGACTGTATTACTGTTTTTACTGTATTTTTGATCAAAGAAATGCGGCCTTGGTGAACATTTAAAAAAAAATCATAAAGTCTTACTGAGCTCAGTAGTGAACAGTATGGTAACTAACAGTAGTTCTGTTAATCATTTGTTCAGCTGACACACAACTCAGCGATTAATTTCCTAGTCAAGCATGGTTTGCAGAGCATATTCTGTTCGAAGGGGCCATTTTCATGGCATATTGTCCCACATCAGTACAGTGCAAATGGTCCATCAGAGTTGACATCCATCAACAGGATGCATACGAACAGTAAGAGATAGGTTAGCTACTGTACATCCTAATGCTCTTCTGAGATTCTTCGCGTGCCATCAGTCCCAAACATCTGTTTTTATGTAAATCTACTGAAGCATAAGGCTCAGTGAATAAGTGTACGAAGGCACGCTCGCCTGCTCTCAGATCTACTCCATGTTCTCGTTTTCTCACCATGCCTCTCACTCTCTTCATGGATCACTGTGTACGCATATGGGGTTTGCTAAATGGACCCACACTGAATATTTTATACAGCTATGGTTCCTCCTCCTCGTGCTCCTCTCCCCCATAGAGTAGAACATGATTTTGCAGGCATACAGAGGAGAATAGGCATAAAAAGGTGCAAACAGCAGATCCAGAGGCCAGGCAGCTGTAGAAATGATTCAAACTTCAAGTTCAGGACTTTTCAGAAACATGTTAGGTCACATTACCTAGCACCTACAATATCTTCATTGTTGTCTGAACTTGTTTTAGTGCTAAGAACAAATAACTTTTAACTGAAGAAGACTGTCAGGGCTCTACAATGTGACTGAAAACTACCGCGTGCGACTGTGAAAAAATATTTAGGAGCACCATCTCTTCTGAAACTACTGTTTGTGATATTTCTTTGAAAAAATATTTGTGAACCATTTGCTCTACATTCAATCTCATTGCTGCCTTGGAGAAACAGTTAAGATTTTAAAGAGATTTAATTTATGAATGATCTTTCCTATGGGTAGATTTCTTGGAAATCCACAAGCTTTATATGGATGGAGTGAGTATGTGCATCAAAAAAAGCCCACTGAACCTGAAAGCAATCAGTCTGAGAAACTGGCCCTGAAGTTTTATTTGAGTTGAAGGTTTTGGCTAGTCTGTGAAAGTTGGTGGCCAGCCTCTCTCATAGTGTTTTACTGACTTGTGTGGTCTTTTTTCCCCATGCAGTTACATACACAAATGTGAAGGTTATTTTTGCTAGCGGTGGCCAATGAGAGTTTTCAGACCAAATAAGGGTTTGTCCTCCAGCAGACTGAGTTCTCTCAGTAATGGTTCCACACTTGGATTTGCTCCAGGGAAAGAAAGAAAGAAAGAAAGAAAGAAGGGAAGAGAGGAAAAAGGAGAGTTAACTCCATGTCATATTAGAGAAAAAGTTAGAGAAACTTTTAGAGTTAGAGAAAAAATTGAGGCAGTCTAACTTTTTAGTAGAATATTAACCATTCCGTGAGTGGCGGATGTGTGGATTATTAAAGTGCCTGTTTGTGTGTGTTACCATGAGAAAGAGATAAGACTTCTAATTAAGAAAGCGTGTTTTTGCAGCACTAGTTTTAAGTCCTGAAGTCCTTCATTCCTAGTGATCAACAGAGATGGTTCAGAGAAGTTCCTGAAATATTTTGTCATCTTGCAAGTGCATATCAGATCTCCAGAGGAAGGGTGATCTTGTACAACCATATCTTGTATGCAATGTAGACGGTACATAGTTTGTCAAAAGCACAGGGTGCTCACCCACCCAAACACTTAGAGACTCAGACATAATATAATATAACTGGGAGTAATCAGGGATGAGCCTGTCTCTTCAGATAACATACAGCTGCACAGCATGTACATGTCTGTAAATGAAGAAAGTTCAATGGAGGAGACCTTTTTTATAGAGATGTTCCATTTATTCAAGCAGTTTCTAAAAACAAATAAAATAAAAAAAGACAATTATTTTCAGTCAATGAAAAGATTAAAATTCAGCCTCAAGGCACTGTTGCTATTGTTAACTACAGCTAAAACGATTATATTTGTTGTTAATTGTAATAAAGCTGTAATAAAATAACATATAAGATCAACCTAAATTTTAAAAACTTTAGAATTTTTGAAATTAGAAATGTTGCCTTGGCAACTAACTCAAATAGTTTAAGAAGTTTAAGTTGAAATACTAAAATAATTAAAACAAAAGCTGAAACTAATTAAATTAATGCTTAATAGAAATATTAAAAAACAAATGTAAATTAGCCACATAAAAATTAGTAAAACTTAAACTAAAATTAAAATTGAAAACATAAAAATGAAAGCTAATTCAAAAGATGAATAAACACTATAATAATATTGAAATAATATTAAAATAATACTGTCTCAAAATTGATTGGTTTGGCCGCTTGAATTTCTTTTAGTGCAGATTTACACAGGCTTATCATGGATGATGAATGACCAAGATGATGCTATCCCTGCCTTACTAAGTATTTCACAGTAACCGGGAGTATAATCCATTTAATCATGATGACTTGCACTGCTGTTTGAGTTTTGAGCTCAGAGGGAAAATGAAAGATTCCACTTAACTTAGAATGAAAATGTGAAAAAAGCCACCAAACAGCCTCAGAATGAAAATGAAATGTTTCAGTCACTACCTTTTAAGAAATAAATGAACAATTTCAGCTACTACCTCTAATAAATGAAAAGTTTGGTTCAGATTTCAGTGACTGTTTTAAAAATGCGAGAGAAAAATCTACACTGGACAGAATTTCTTCAGACACTGTAATGGACAAGATATGATATCGCTCTCTTTGGCTCCTGTTCAAACAAATCAGCATATGAATTTAGCAAATCCAAAAAATAGTAAATCCAAAATATAAAAAATATGCAGTCTACTTAATTTGCATGCAACAGTGCACAGTGCAAGACATTAAAGTTTGTGTTCTTTTAATTCAGTTAAGAGGTCGCCCTGTGAAATTTCAATCTTCTGTTGGTCACTTCTTCATGTGATGTGAATCACAGGTCAGAGTTCACCAGACTTTAACTTTGGAACATAGATGACATTTGCATGAGGTTTTGTATGAATGGAAGTCAATGGCAGGAAAAGTATAGTGTGACCTAGGCTTGCCGCGATAGACGGTGCTGACGGTGATACCGGTGTTAAGCCGCAACACCGGCTACATCACTTGCCCACTGCGTCACCGACCTCCACCGTCGTTTTGATTTTTTTATAGTAATAAAAATAATTTAGTTCAGTAAAAGAACAGACACTACAATTAAAAACTGAATGCGGCTGCTCAATGCAGCGTGCTGAACGACAGTCGCATCACAGATCAGATTTCATTTCTCCAGTGAGGAGAGTGAGTCGAGGTGACTGACGAGAAGAGTGAGGTGAGACAGACAAGACCATCGTGGATGATTTAGTTTCGAAACGAAATGCAAAAGCGCCTGTTTGGCAATATTTTTTATTTTGAAAAGCCTGTTGACTTTTGCCGTTTATCTAAGGTGATTTTGGAAGGTTTTTTAAACATTCGTTTCTTATTTAATTGGTTCCACATTGTTTGATGATTTTTACTTTATTTAATCTTTGTGTCATTTATTTATTTTATTTGACATTCGTTTTGCTAATAAACGTTCTACGTTTCTTATTTATTTGGTTATATATTATACATGTTTACTTATTTCCAGTTTTGTACAATTCATAGCTTCCTTGCAACACTTAAAAGTACTTCATGCGATATGGCTCAAAGCAATCAAGCAATTAACTCATAACCTTTATCACAGGTTGCAGTAACACCATCGCTACCTGCGTTGTTTCTATTTTTTCAGAAACAAGGTTGAATCTGGAGTTAATTGTTATCACCGCTGACCTCTATTATTAATATTTCATTTTCTTGCCCAAAACGTCACGCCTGACGATAAAGCAGTTAAATATACAGCAGGCCAAACCTCAGTAATTACATGCTCAGAAACAGCAGAGCCCTGTGCTGGCGCGTCTACAAAGCTGCCCTGCAAAAAATAGGACCTGTGGGAAGAGGCAGAATAAACTTGTTTGTTGGTTCGCTGTTAGATCGGTGAAGAGCACATCTGCAGTCTTGGAGTTTGATTTGTGCTGCTTTTGTGTTTCATTGAAGGGAACATGTCATGGAAAACAGGATTTTCCTTTATCTTTTGAAAAGAGTTTATTGTACTATATAGACATACTCGATATGCACAACACAAAGCCTCCACACCAGTCCAGTACAACCATTTATAGAAAATAATCTGCAAAAAGACTCCTTCAGAAACAGACATAATTATAACCTTGATATTTGATATATAATATTTATTTGTTTGTTTATTTCTATAGATATATGATGGAGAGGTAAATAAATCAATATAATATCTATATTAATTTATTTACCTCTCTGTTTATTTATCTACTTATCTCTATTTATGTATTATATGTGACTGGATGGATGGATATAGGTAAATAAATCAATATCTATATTAGTTAATTAGTTAATTTACTTAAATGTATATTTATTCATTTACCTCTCAATTTATATAGATAGATAGATAGATAGATTTTATTTTAATTAATTCATTTTTTTGTCTATATATTTGTTTACCTGCCTTTTTATTTATCTGTTTAACTTTAGGATGGATGGATGGAAAGAGATAATGTATTAAATATTTTCTGAAAACAGACAAAAATAAAGGACTTTGGTAAAAGACAGTCAAGCAATAAAGAATATGTAGCTGCCTTAAAACTCATAACATCTGAAGACTTTTCCAGGGAGATACCTGGTGGAGAAACAAGGTTCCCTGTTGAATTAGTGTTTTGTCCTAGAGCTGCATTCACAGGTGTTGCGAGCACAGATTTGTTTAGCGAGTGTAGCTGGGGATAATAACACACTGCAGGTGAACGGATTGTTCCCGTCTTTGAGTCAGGTCATGCAAAAGAGCCCGAGTCTGGTTAACCTGCTCATACTGACCTCAATCCCTTCTGCACAGGTCAGTTAAAGTGATAAGTGAGTGTGTGGGTGTGATCTTGCATAAATATGGTGTGTATGTACATACACGTGTGTGTTCCTGCATAAGTGTTCATGCATTAGCTTGCACTTTCATAATTTTTTCACAATGTAAATTATCTCAGTTTCTCTGTATCTTTAAGGTATTTCCCAGAGGCCTTTGCTTCGTATGAGGAGAGTGGGTGGTTCGCTAGTCTCCGTCTTTTCCTTTGCCATCGTGAAATGCTTTCTCTCAATGACTGCACTATGCTTTTTTTTTGCTCAACTGTATATGTAAGAGAGATTCTCTTTGTGCTCTACCTGTCGGTGAAGAGAAATTAACCTATCTGCCTTGAAAGCTGCTTTCAGCCTGGTTTTTGAAAGCACCCCACTGAGTTGGACTTCAAATGATGTGATAAAGGAAAAGGCTTTATGTGAGCGGGTGTATTTGCACAAGTGAACGTGACTACTCATTTTTTTTAGAGCGGAAGCGCATGTGTAGAGAGACGGGGATCAAATATCAGTCTATTCTTCATGACAACAGCATTTTCAGCTTAAAGGGATAGTTCACCCAAAAATTCTGTCTTCATTTACTCACCCTCATGTCATTTCGAACCTGCTTGACTTTCTTTCTTTTGTGGAACATAAAATATATTTTGAGTAATGTCACCATGTAACAGTGGAAGTCAATAGCTCCAATTCTCAACATTTTTTTAAATCACCAGTCATACAGGTTTGGTGAGTGAATGATAATAACGTTTTCATTTTTGGGAGAACTTTATGCTTCTCGTATAAGTCATAAGAACCTAATTATGACAAAAAAAATGTGCCACTTGGGGTATCACATGCTGCACTTTTGTAGAATTATGTTTATTATATTACGTATTTATTGTAGTTATATTTGATTGGCTCACATCACTTATGCCAGATAAAAATAAAAATGCCTTTGAATGTGTAGCAAATGATCGTGCATATTGCAATTCCTAAAGTAACCAACCAAGTTTAATCAGGCATTTTCCTAATGAAATTTTTGTCTTTTGAAATTCAGTTAATATGCCATCATTATTCATTGTAGTTCATTCTTTTTTTTGTCTCACATTCGCTATCATGAACTAAATAATTTTGTCAGTAATTTTGTTGACTAGATTAGAGCTGATATTTAGTAACTCCATTTAACTTGACCAAAACCAATTTTTACTTACATTTGCCATATGGTCAGTGCTGTTATTGTTAACTGAAACTATTAAAAATGGTTTTCAGTAATG